GCGGGAGGGATGTGGGAGCCTTACATGAGAACGGGAATTATTTTTTTTCCCGGTTGATATTGAAAAAGACAAATCTTGTGATCATAATCATAGTCAGATACTGTTATACTTCGGTAATTGCAATAAGGATACATAATTGCTGCACTAAAATTTAGCTTTAATCTGCAGTCAACCATGCTGCTCAGCTGGGAGTTCACTGTTACTAATCATGAATGTTTTGAAATAAAGGATATTCTGGGCCAAGGAAAAGCTATCAGGTACCACATATACCATGATTTCCCCATCTTAAAAATGAGGTTAATCTCTTTCCTTTTTTGAGCTTTTTCTTCCTCTACAAAAGTTAATGGCTGTTTGTAACTTTTTTGGGTCAGGCTTCTTTGGCACATCGTTTTTTTAATGGGGAAAAAAGTTGTAATTTTGTGGAGGTCATACCGAATGACTTTCTACTTTCCTTCTTTACAGAGCGAAACTAAATTATAACACTGAAAGAAAGGAAGAACTAGAATAAAATATGGCATTTCTCCCACACATTACTGCAGTGCTTCTGTCTGTTATCTGTAGAGCTCTGAAAGAATAATGGCAGTGACTGGGACTCCAGTTCTGGGTAAAATGGGTCAGACTCAGAACACTGAAATGGGCATAGACTTCTTGGTTCTTATACTGTAGTGAAACTGATTAAAGTTATTGACCCATGGTTAATCAAACCGCTCATATTTGAGTGTTATTTTCTTTTTGGCCTTAAACGCCCTGATTTTTATACAATAGTAGGAGGAGAAGCGAGTTTTGAACCAAATGAAACCGGAAGACAAGAACAAGGTATCTTATCATTACTCTCTTTGAAATGGAGAATTAGCATAACGACTTATCATTAGTGTGCATTGCTTGGGAAACTAAAAGTCACTTTTGCCTGAGGGGGTTGCAACTCCAGTGAGGCTAATGATAATAATAGTACGGCTTTGAGATTCAATTTCACTCTTTGAAAGTTGTATGAGCAAAGAGCGCAAGACTACGAATTTCAGAAATTTTGATGCTGGAAAAACCCACTTTGTTATTTGAAACATCAAACTCCAGTAAAATGCAGCAGCATTTTCAATTTGACAGTGCCTCTCTTACATTTCTAACAGAGTTCTCTCCTCTCTCCCATTACTCTCTGTCAGTCTCTCTCTAGTGCTGTCATGTGCTTTCGTTTCACAAACTGCGATTTTCCCGGCATTATGATCCAAAGTCTTCCTTAAACTACATTGCTGTTGAGACTGTTTACAATGGGCTATGGCTCCCTCAATTGAACCTTCAAGCTCTGAATTTGCACTGCTGCTTCTCCTGATCAACTGTAAATCATAGAACCCACTTGAGCTGAACGAAAAGGACGAAGATGTAGAAGATGACCCAGATGAAGATGTGGACAAAGAAGAAGCCTTGGCCATAGAATGCCGTTGAATCGCCCCCGAGAAGGACCTCCTATGGTTATTCATGAGACGATCTTCAAGCATCTCTCTGTTTATGGTCTTCATGACTGCACAGGAAATCTGGTGCCTGTTATCATCAATAATTTCGAATGAATTTTTCCTAGCAGTGACTTTGATGTACTTGTTCTGACAGTCTTGGCATTTTGATTTCCTTCCTGCTCCTCCCGCATTATTTGCCGCATTAGCACAGGACTTGTCTGAACAAGCAGATTTGTTGAACAGGGACTTGAGATATGCTCGTGAAGCCTTGAGCCTTTGACCCAACCAGAACTGCTTGATCTGTTTCAGCTTCTTAGACCAAGATTTCTTTGGAATATCAGCACCGAAGAACCCATTTATTTCAGAGGACCAGTTGTACAGGTATTCATCTGGGTTTACTTCACTACTAGCCCTGCATGATTCGGAAGGGGAAATATTGCAGGATTCCAAGGGAGTGCTGGCATCTGTAGAGGGTAATCTGAGATCAGATTCAGTTGAGAAGGGAAAGCTTGTAGCTTTCAATGCTGACTCCGTTTTCACATACTGGAAGGTGTCATTGGGATTCTCCAGAAGCTTCTGAACCATTTGCAGGCGAGGTGGAAGATGAAGAGGAAGGAGTTTCCCTTTGTAGAAGAGTTCATCAGCTGGGGAAGTAGTGGACTCCTTCTGGCTGGAAATTGATGCCATCTGGAACTCAAACTCTCTGCTTTTTGGTGGAGAGCTCATGGAACAAGAGAAGAAGTCGGAGGAAGAAGAACTTATCTCCATATCGATATAGTCTTCATCCACATGAACAAACGCAGCCTGTTTTGTGGCCATTTCATGTGATTCCTCTTTTTGTGCGTGCCGGACTGTGGAGATGTCTACGGGGAATTGAAACTTCTGAAGCGAGAGGCAGGGTATTCTTTAAAGCAAGGTGATGCCAAAGTTTGTTATATAGAGGATTTCTTTTTTCTTTTTTCTGAAAGAAAAAAGAGAATACTTTTCTATTGTTAAACTCTACATCACTTGCATTTTGTTCCTCGCTTTACTGCCTTACTCCTATTCTACCCTATGTGAATGTCAGCTCATTACGAATGGCGATAACGCTATAACAGCAACCTTTCTTTTAGATAACAGTGTCTGGCGTCAAAACCATTGTATGTCGTGAATATGAACATATTAATAAATAATAATCAATAAATGTAATAAAGTACCTGAAAATTTTACTGTACATGATATAATTAAATAGTAGTATAATATCTCCAAATTCATACCTTATTTAGAAAAATGGACAGCGACTCACAAGCATGAAATGCGGTTATTATTATAATGATGGATTATTCTTTTCTTACTAAGGAAGCAGTCGGGGGTTAATGGTTAACAATTTTATTGGTTATTATTTGGACATAAAGATGGCAAGGATTTGCATTAGGAAAGTATTTTTTGGATTACGTATTTTATGGGAGGCACAAAATATTCACCAAAGAGAAAGATGCAGAGTAACCCACATCAGATATGTTTCAAAGCAGCAATAAAGAAAGCAATGATGATCCTCGAAAGTACTTGGTGGCTTTCACCCTCCTTTTTTCTTTTCCCCCTTTTGCCTTTTTTGCTTCACTGTTCACAACTTCAATCCCCTCTGTAATTGTTGCTTTTCCGCAACACATTTTCTTTTTGCTGTTTTTGGTTTTCAGTGGAGAGATATCTGCGATTACATTGCCGCCAAAAGAGAGAAGAACAACGAGGAGTGAAAAGAGCCAAACTAGTGTTTTGCACAAAGCAGGCACACTATAAGTTTCGTCTGAGAGATTCAATCTCTTAGATGTGTATTGTCCGTAATCAGTGGTTGAGATTATTGACAAGCTCTCGTATTCTTGTATTTGTCCCCATCCATTTAAACTGGAAACCCAGTAAAGTACAAGACGAGGATCTATCACTCAGAGCAAGATGTGGACACTAATCTTGTTTTTTATTGAGAGTTTCAATGTAAGTAATGCTCATTCCTCGGACCTAAAACGCGAGATTCATATGATTGATGAATCTAACCCACAATCATGCACAACAGGGGTTTCACTAAAATGAACATGCATAAATCATAGGTAAATTGGCTACATTAGTGTTCATTAACCGACACAGGCTTCTTCTCTATCATGATTTTGACAAGTCATCAAGTTGTTGAGAGGACATCTAGTTTGCATATTTGGAGTGCGGTGTTCTGAAGGTGAAAAAAGCCAAAAGGGAAGGAAGAGGGAACTTCGGCCTCATTTTTTGCTGATTGTTTTTCCTAATATCCAGACCCCCCCCCCCCTTCTCTATCTCTGCACCCAACGTAAATAATCGAATTATGGGCAATCATTCATGGGGCTGCTCATTTGACCAGGTCAAAATGAAGCTAGGCATTATTTTAGACTTTCCCATTTGGCCCTCGGCTGGTGTTGGACGACTGATTTCGGAATTCTAAATTGAGGTTTGACCTCATGAGATAAAGAAACCAAGTACTCAAACGAAGAAGACATTGGAAAGTGATGAATGCGAGGCCATAGGCCCTTAGGCCTAATGAAAATAATGTATCTCTTTCCTTTTCTGAAGGCCAGGTGTGGGAATCGAGAAGGAGTAAAAAGATAAAAGAACGACGCAGCAAAGCTCGAGGCTGCTGTTTAAATTTTTCTTACTTTTGTCTCTCCCTTTGGGAAGTTCCCAATTCCCATTCTCCCAGCAATAGCATATTCCCTGTCCAAATTGAAACTCAAACTACTGAAGTGAGCGTTTAAACTGTTAAAAAGTTGAAACAGCCAACTGCAATTTGTGGTAAAATTTAAGGGAAAGGCAAAAGAAAAGCCTGCGCGTAGCAGACTAGTTATCTTTTCTCTGGGACATCTCTAAAGTACTAGAAAAAGTCATTGCTTCAATCACGTGATGCTCATCAAACTACAGTCACATGATCACTTCTTTTCCTAACCACTTGACGTAAGGGACACCCTCCTTTGAACTTGAACCTCAGAGCACTTAAGCAAAATGTGATTTGGTTCAAAAACCAAAAAAAAAAAAAAGAAGCAAATTTTATGTTGCGTTGGCTTAAAATTATGATTAGTGGTAGATTTGTTTTGGTGTTAAACGCGGGTTTAAGGAAAACAAACGAGCTGGTTTCAAGTTGCTTTGACTCCAATATGGATTTAGGTCTTGTGAATGGAATACTAACGTTAAAGAGAAAACAATGACGGTACCGGCGGATGAAGTGGAGACTGTCACTGTAGAGAGAAAAAGGGTGCAAGCTTCCACGATCCCAGGTGAGCCCCAACCCCAAGGGTATCAACCTCATGCTTTTCCTTTCATCTTTTTCCTTTGAACCCTTGTTACTTCTTTTCATTATCAGCTACCATCATAACTAGAAGATGCATCCAAGTCCTGCACTTGTGCCCACTGTTTCCTGCTGCAAGAGGAAGTTTTTTTTTTTTTTGGGGGGGGGGGTCCTAGTACAGCAGTGTTAAGGAAGAATTAAGTACCATGAAGCAGATGTCAGAAAGTATAATGGTCGGAATAGGACCCATGTACCCAAATCACATAATCTTCAGGATTTAGAAAAACGTGAATTTTCTCACTGGCAAAAAGGGGGGAAAAGATTTTTCTCTCTGAATGATTATACATAAACATGGGGTTGCTCAGGGTAATTACTTGTTAAATATCTACAATTTTTCAGTGACAATACTACAAATACAATTCAGCGCCCCAACAAAATTGGTAACATGCGCATCTCAGAACAACGTAGGTGGACATAATATAATATGATGTCCGGTGTCTGAGAAAGCCTTCTCGTGGTAAAAGCAGAGTGTTGTTTTTTACATTTTTTTTTTTAAAACATCATGTGTAATTTTTGGTCTATTTTCTCGTCGTATGGTCAATTCTGTCATGAGCATCAAACTCCCATTCACTTATCTCGTCTGCTGAATCATCGTCACAAATTTTATCAAGTTGTGCTTGTATTTCTGACGATTCTGATATTCGTCCACCAAATGAGAGTGAGTTGAGCAATGCATTTGGTCTGAGTCCATTAGATAAAGATGGAGTTTTAGGGGAAGCACTTTTAAAGGATGTTTGACTTGATGGTGTTTCGGACCTTTGGGTTGGAGTCTCAACTTCCAGCTTTGGCCTCTCAATGGATTCAAATTCGTCTTTTATTTTCTCAATGGCTTCTAATAGCTCTTTGACCTTGTCATGGTCTTTTCTGTATCAAGAGGGGGAAGTTTACTGATGCTCATACATTTCATGAGAAAAATAACAGAGATAGGGAAGAGGAAAAGGGAGAGCATGAATTAAAATACCTGAAAATCCCTTCGTTTTGAATGTGAAACTGATTTTTTATGGCATCCGCTAAACTCAGTATAATTTTACACTGAATATACAGAAAAAAGGGTGGTAAGTAAGAGATTTGTTGAAAGGCATAGAAATTATTCGAGCAGTAGAGTTGACTTGAGTCAATTCTCCCATATAGTGTCAAACTCACCAGTGATGATTCCTCTCATAACATTGGCCAGTGATATTTACTTAAAGATAAGCGCGACCGTCTTGACAGATAAAGAAGAAGAAACCAAAATACCTTGTTTTCAGCATCCAAATACTCTTCTTCAAGCCTTTTCCTTGAATCCATTATTTTAGAGACATCATTATCTCCAGCTGCTGATATTTCTGACCTGATATGAATCGACGGTTAGAGGCATCAGTAAGACATCAAGGAAAACCACTCAAAAAGGGAGAGCACCATACCCTTGACTTGAACTCAAGTTCTCCACAAGTTTTCTTACTTGGGTAACAGATGGGCCCAATTTTTCCTAAACATGCAAGTAATCTCATGATAAGAAATTGAAGAAACACTGAGGATAGGTGAAGCTGAAGGTGGTAAAACTATAGAGAGAGGAGCTCTCAAGCTAGGATAACTTAATACCTTGTAAGAAGACAGAAGCTGAAGAACCAAATTCACAAAATAATCCCCATATTGCTCCAGGTCAGCACTTGAATTAGTAAAATGAAAATATTAGCAGATTCCGAATTAATAAGAGCAAACTTGAGACTGAAGGTGCAAATGAGACAGTCGTTCACCATAGCAACTTCAAAAAACATATTAGAATTCATTTGATCGCATTTGATTGTACATTGGTACTAAAGAGCAGGACATATGAACATACTTGACCTGCTCCTTCTTTTTCTCTGTATGTGCTGTTTGGAGAAGCCAGGCACTTCGCAAAAAGTTGATCCATGTATTGACAACACTAGCTTCGTTTGTATATGAAGCTATGGCTCGCAGAAGCTCATCTTCCTATGTCAGAATATTTTATAACAGATCATGAAAATTACAAGACAATTTATTAGATATTCATCTGAATTATTGTCTCCAAAACATTTTTTTTCTTTAAGAGGTAGGTGTGAAAGGATTTCATTGCTTGCCTCCAAAACATTTCATGTCAGAACTTTTTTTTTTTTTTTTTTGGGTACCTTCATTGACAAATGTGCAAGAATTTCATTGCTTGCCTCCTCAAACTGCTCTTTCTCTTCTTTTGCATTTTGGAGGCGCATACGAGCAGATGCCAATGAAGCATTGACCTTCAAAAAGTTATCAGACTTCCGTAATTCTTGCAAAAATTGGCAAATATACCCATGAATCTCACATAAGCAGATTGCATATGGGGAGGATGCTTATTCCGATGGGAGAAATACTATAGACATGAGTTTGATGCAGTAAACTAAATGCCATCCAATGCAGATGCTCTGAATCAAGAGCTGAAATATATCGTTTTTTCTTGGTGAAAAAAAAAATCAATTGTCTGCAATTATATGCCTTTGAATATCATAAATGCCATATTAAAAGTTAAGTTGCTAATTCCAGTATTACAGAGGCGCAAACAAAATTAAAAAAAAAAAAAAAGGACAAAACCTTCTTCAGATTGGCTTCAAGTTCATCTTTCTGCTTCTCAAGTTCTCCAATCTCCTCCCCCAAATCCTGCAACAGCCGCAGAATTCATTCAAGAGTGAAAGAACTGCTTCAGAATTATGGATGTTTAATTCTTTTCCTCGACTGGCCTATATACCGTAATTTAAGTATTTAATCATATCCATCTAAAAATCATCAGAACTTGAGGAGACAAAATATTAAACTCGTTCAAACAGTTCATGTTTTATATGAATGAATAGCCAAAAGAAGCTGCTATATCTCCGTATGACACATTTTTCTAATCTCAGATAATGCAGAAGACAAGTTAATATCGTAATAATAAATACTTACAGAGCAAACGTTACACTAACAGTGTTGCAAATAAATGTCTAACTATAAAGAAGGCAATTAAATTCTTCCTAGATTCCAAGCTAGATAGAGTTTTGCGTGTAATTCACTTAGTCCAGATGAAAATAGAGTTATGAACAATCAGTAATATTCAAGAACGCCCCATATCCATCAATGCAAGGTCAGTGACATAAATTACTGCTCTTTCTTTTATCTTTAAGAAGTGAAAAACTGATGCATTGCTCATTTTTCAACATCCTACACATATTGATAACGAACGGGGGTGTAAAAATTGACCTGAAAAGAGCACCATGCATGCAGTTGTGTGGGGGGAATGGGGGGATATCTAATGAAGATACTCAATATTTGAGTATGTTATCCACTACCATGAGAAACTTCCTAGTTCCTATTCTGCATGCTTTCATATAGTTCTTTACTAGATCTACGACAAGATAAATCAATTTCCTCTTGAATGGAATGTACCTTCTCAACTTGGTTAACTTCATGGGACTTAGTTACCCGAAAACTAAGTGCTTCTTCTTTTTGAGATCTAGTAGAGAACAGCAATAGAATTCAGTGGCATTATAGAAGATATGCTGAAATACAGTATGTAGCCAAGGTCAACATTTGCAATTTTTTCTTTACTGAAATTTCACTAGTCAAAAGTAGATGAGATTATAAGCAAATCACACTATTGCAGCATAAGAAAATGACCTTTAAAATAATGAAAATCATGTCTATCTTGATAAGGAAGAGCTGAATGCAGTGAGTATGGTAAATACTCAATCAAGGCACAAATATCTGGGCAAGCATAACATACACTAGCAAGAAGCAATTGAAGAAACTTGTAGTGACTGTTTCAGGCACCTGTTTTCTGAGATGCGATTTCTAGCTTTTGAGGTAGAATTGGAAAGAGACTCTGATAAGACTTTCAGTTTATCTACCTGCAATCAATCCAAAAAAACCCCTAAAGCCAAACCGTGGTAGTATCAAAAGCAGAAAAATAGGCATCCATGTTGTACTATGAATAAAAATTTTATGCCTAGTTGCATTTAAGTTGCTGAGTATCAATGCAATATGGATCTACAAAAACAGCAATTTTATTAGCTTTCCATAATGCTCAAATATGGCTGACTTGAAGGATTTGGAAGATTGGAAATGGAGCCAAAAATGGTAGCCTTTCTCCAAAAAGTAGATCAAGATGACAATATCCAGATCATATGAAGTTTTTATAACCAGTTATCGGAGTTAGAGTTCATACGAAGACCTCCCTAACAAACGGCAATCATTATAATTACAGACCACTAGAGAAGGGGCATTTGAAATTGAAAGTCTAATACATAACTATTCCATGAATTTTAAGATGAAACATGCCAAGGATAGATATTCAGAACCTACAATGCCGTAAGTCAGAACCACTTTAATCTCTTCAGAACCTATTGAAATCTTCCTCTCAAAGGAAATGAGTAAACTCAAGACAGAGTGTTGCAACTCTAACGCTTTTACGATATTAACAAATATAACCATGTCAAGGTAAAACATTCAGAAGCTGTGGTATCATAAATCAAAACCACTCTAGCCCCTTCAGAAACCCATTTCGACTATTTCTTAGAGAGAGAAGGAGAGAATTAACTAACTAAAGAGTGTTGTATACAAGTAGACATTTGGGCTCTTGGCTTACTACTTGTTTGGTGGTTTTAACCTTCAGCCTTTGGTCAAAAAAAAAAAACGGAAAGAAAACAAAAGGAGAAAGAAAGAAAGATAGATAGATAAAGTGTTGCAGCTTTGATGCCGTTTAGACATCAATGGATATCAACTAGCAACGTGGTTACTTGCTTCAGAATTTTTTCTGATAAGGTATTGAAGGTCTCGACGGCAAGGATATGGGGATTGAAGGCTCTGGGATCCCCAAAATAGAAATTAAAGAAACAATGTTATGGAGATAAGTTGATCAAGGAGGAAGAGAAGGACAAGATAGAGGCTGCAGAAATCACTTCACAAGACCTTTTCAGCATGAAATTCTGGAGAATCACCATAGCTAATATATTTCTTCTTCAGCAAGAGTTCCTCCAACTTACAACATGTTTGGATCTGTAAAGCAGCTTCATCAAGAGCCTGAAATGAAACATTGCGGGCGTTACACACTTTTAATTGAGTATATGATCTTAAATCCATCAAGTGCTGCTTAAAATATAAGGATATCGTGAGATGCTCATATCAGATATAAAACATCTGTGGCATTAATCATGAAACTCATAATAGGACGTCAGCATATAAACAAAATTTTAAGGTTTAACTTACCTTGATGTTAAGAATAAAAGCATCACAAGAAAGAAGCTTTAATGTCATAATAAGATTTGAAGCTTTAATATAGTTGTCATCTCAAGCACACAACTACTCAAAAATACAAGAGTTTTAATTAAGTGCTTTTTAATATGAATTGTTTATAACATGGGTAAATAAATGTATGATCAATCTTGTAAGAAGTATTATACCATATCATAAGGAATACTTTCTTTTCATTATTTCATTAATGCCACTTGTGCATCATGGCATTCAATCAATAGTCAACACTCACGAAATTATGCCATCGTTTCTTTGTGACTTCTTATTTTCTCGTCAGAAACATATAGTCATTTTCATCTAATTATGGATTCACTAATAAATTCACTTTGTATATTCAAATTCTAAGGAACAGAAAATAACGGTCATTTTAACTCTTATCATCTTTGTGGTAAACAAAGGACTGCTCAATAAAGAACTAGGGAAAAAATTAGAGTTATGAACGAAAAGCCAAGCACAAGAGACATTTGTGGTATGCATGCTTGCACTTCTACAACCTAATACATGTTTGAAGGTTGAACAATATTTACACTACCCATCCTAATTAAAGAGAGAAATTGGAGGAACGCATGAAATATCGCTTACTGAAGAAACACTATTAGCAATAGTAGGGAAATAAACAGTCAAAATAGAAGGCAGAAAAAACTTTCCAGCATCGTGCACAAAAATGGAAATACTAGAAATGCCTCTATTCAAGGTTTCACAAGAACAACAATCATATCTAAGATGAAGCACCTGACAAAAGAATAAATTTGCAAGGGCATATACGTTGCTTCATTTTACATCTAGGAACCCAAAAATTATAGGAAAGCTGAAGTCTTTTGAAAGATCAACATAGAAACACGAACAAAAATATCCTCTAGTTCCACCACCATAATGATCAAATCAGATCTACAATTATGTGCGTGTTTATACCCAAGCGGATGCACAGACAGTTGAGCCTTTCACTGGGTTATTAGGAACCTGAGCTCACCTCTATTGCTATAATTGGTGTTTCTTTGGGTGATTTTATAGAATCTTCATCTGTTTTTTCCCCCTTCATTTTCTCAATTTGTTCCTTTAAACAGCCAGCTTCATCATCTATTCTGAGATAGGAGAATCATCACACAAAAGAAGACCAGAAAAAAGATTAATAAATGCAGTATTATCCATGTCAATACTTTGTGCACACAACAATTCAAGAGATATAAGCAACGCAATATCTGAACAACCCGGAATAACAGATTAAAAGATTGATTTTGACAGACATGTTTTAAGATGATATTACATGCCATGCTCTTTTCAGAAGTCGAAGAATTTAATAATTGATTTAAATATATAATCCAAAATGGTTTCTTTAAATATTGAATACCACGAATTATTTCAGTAGTATTTCCTAGTAAATGGCTCAACATGGTCCGATTACAGATAACTGAAATATAGGTCAGAAGTGGTAAAGCATGCCAACCCATGTGTTGGCGGGCGTGGATTGGAATAACCTATACCCTAATAGGTTGGCCCCAACCCATCTCTTATATATTTATATATATGTATATATATTCAACTTTTTTTAAAAAATTCAAATTAAATCACAAATTTTTATAGACTAAATTTTTTTTTAATGTTTTCACAAAGTTATATAGTTAAATTGACCCCAAAACTTGCAAATATAAATATATAATATATCTTATGTGATTGTTCTACTAATATAAAAATAATAAATAACGAGTGAAAAATCAAACATAGAATTAAGTTACTAGACATAAGACATGATTATGTTTATATTAAGTGCAAGACAACAAATTTTTTATTAAAAATAAAATAAAATAAAATTTAAAAAGAAAGAAAGAAAAAGGCGTCACCCTGCAACTTGGCGGATGCCAGTAGGAACAACATGCACCTAGGTATGTTGGTATTTTTCCGATGTGAACCCACCACAACCCGCAGGTTGGAGGGTTAGACAATCAAGCCGAACCCATATTAATGGCTATGAACTATACTCCAAAGGATAGAGAAAACAGCAGATAAAAATGTGTATTTATATAACTGATATCTAACTAGGGGGGATCCCTATGCGTTGCGTGCAGTATGAACCGCACAATTTATATAGATCTTATATTTGGTATTGACTAGATATAATTATATGATAAGTAACAGATGGGCAGAAAAATTGACGCGTGGTAATCTCTATCAGAGATAAAGAAATTGATGTTCCAATGCAGCTAGGGAGAACACGTTCCTAAACAATCATAACCAAAGCATGAATGGGCAGCGGTACCAGGTGGTGAGAGTTGATACATCATAGCCAAAGCATATACAAGTCAATTTCTATGATACTGCTGCTGCTAAACAAAATAGCACATCTCAAGGCCAAATAAGCATCAATGAAGATATACTTAGCAACAACCTCAAGAGATCAGCATTTATTTTCAGCCCTGCAAGTGCGCCTTGGACATTTTGAAGCAATTCTTCTCGCTTTGCCTGACAAAACAAAAAAAAGGTGAGAGACTGAAAGAAGTGCAGATGTCAAATAAGTGTATGACCTTCAGTATCTTCTAAAAGGTGTATTTATATTTGTGATCATAACTTTACAGAGCCAAATTGGTTTGACAGCTAAATGATAATAAGTATGCACGCAAGTCTCCTCATAATGTCAGGAGCATGGGCTCATTTTATCCCCATACAAGTAATGCTAAAATGAAGATATCAATGTCATTACCAGTACTTCATCTTCATATCCGGAAAAAACTTTTGCCAGATCCATTACACTAGATAACACTGCAGTAGCCTCTTCCTTTCCGCCGGTAAGACAAAGCCTGTAGAAGTAATCTTTTAAGCAAACTTTTCTCTTATTATTATTATTATTCAAGGGGAAAATGTATATGCTTCCTTACCAGCATCCATTAAATTTCTCAGTATCCAAGAATTATTTGCCCACAATAATATCAATTATGAATTTTTTTCCCCTTATTCTGGATAAAAAAGAGACAAAGATAGAAGTAGTGAATTACCCGTATATCTCTGAAAGTAATGAAACTTCTTCTTCATTTGGTGCTTCAAGAATCTGCGTGCACAGAAGAGATAACCAACATTTAAGAACAACAAATGCCCGACAACTGTCATTAGAATCTCACAAAATAGTTAGCAGGTTAGGAGTCATCACAACTCAACGAATGTTTATAAGGAAAAGGAATAAACTTCCCTGTACTTGGCAACTTTATACATTGATATTTACAGCATGTTATTATATAATTACCAGTGAACTTTAATCGTAGTTCAAATATCGGAATATTTTAAGTATCTCCCCTAAAATTTTAAGTAACGTTGCATGCATGTTGTTCCCCGTCCAACATGTGATGGGCTTATATAAAATAAACGTAAGCCGTGAAAGAAGCTGGTTGTGCTTTTCATTTAGCAGCTAAAACACTACTAAACCCGGAGCCAATTAAACCTCACTGTAAGCGAAAGTTTCGTAGTGAAAAACTGAATATACATGAGACAGTTGGGTAATGACTGGCATCTGATACTAATCCCAAAAGGTCGACGCTACAGAATAAATTAACCGAGATTATCCATAAAGCATGCAGAAAAACCATTAACTATTTTCAACTCACCATTGACAATGTTATGCCTTCAAGAGCTTGACTAGAAAGAAAGACATCGCGAAAATTCCTGGGTTCACCTGTCATGCCAGGGTCAGCATAATAAACCTGCCCATGGTTTTAAATAGTGGATTACTAATTGGAAAAAAACCGACATGGTAAGAACTCAGTGAAGGTAAAAGGAGAGGCTTCTGCAAAGTAAAATTTATAGGAGGCCATTCGTAGGAGCGAGAAAAAAGAAATTGCAATGTAGAAGTGAGGAAACAAAACTGGTTCACAAACCGGAGTCGGTTTCCTAGGTGAATCCTTGGATTCTTCAGTAAAAAGAGGGTCTTCTGGCTCTTTTGCATTGAGCTCAGAGAAGCCGGCAAGTCTCTCAATTTCTTTAAGTGCAACCAGCCACCTTCTTAGTAATTGAACCCTCTCTGTCCCCCGACATGAAACCGAAACTTCTTCTAGTCGTTTTACAGTAAGCTTAAAGCTTTGCATATTCCGATTGCCCTGTTCGACAAAACTACTCAAGCAATACACAAAAAACTCTAATTCACTAAGAAAGAGCTCCCTACCCCCCCCCCCGGGGGGGTCCCTTGACAAAAAAGTGGACGCAAAACCTTCGAACAGAAGTATGCTTTCGGAAAAAGTGGCATTGTCATCTTAAATCATTAGATTACGATACCATTTCTCCCATTCTAGAAATTAAAATGAAAAAGGAGGAAAGAGTGTCGGTTTGTACAATTCGCTCTTGGATGATTTTGGCTCCACCAGCAACGGCATTGCTAGCGTGGAGGACGACGGAATCGGCGTAGTTGCGGACGGTGCGAGAGAGGTTGCTTTGACCCCCCACTTCCACCGCTTTATTCACCGCCGATCTTACCCACGACATCCTCGCTCACCACGCTCTACTTGTGCGCTAATCTTCTCTCTTTGCGTTTGCAAATATACAGAAAAAGGTGGACGGTCTCTTCGTTAAACTTTTAAAATATATGGTTCATACAGGAAATGTCGATGTAGAAACTGAGAATGCAATTGATAGAGAAGGGAAAATGAAAAGAAATTTGATCCTGGTGATGAATGATTGCGGATTCTGGAATGCACAGGCCATAGATTCAGTGGCGATGATCAATCTGTGAAAACAGGAGCAGGGAGAAGAGGATAGGGTGGTAAGCGAGGAGAGAGAAGGAATGGCATCAGGTGGAAGAGCAGAGGTGGCAAAATGGCGAAGGAAGAAGTCAAGCGCTTGGGCAACTCGGTGAACGTTGATCCCAGCCAACAAGTTCGATTTAAGTGCCTTCCTTTTCGCCTCTCATTTTTTCTAAATCATCTAGTTTACCCATTTGACTCACCATTTTTCCTTTTAAATGTTTATTTTGCAGATTCGGCCCCATACTTTTTGGCGCGGCAAAAGCCACGACGTCTGCTTGGTCGTTGTTAGTTGTTACCGTTACTGGTCCATGTTCGGACAAAAGACGCCATCGAAACAAGTGGACTTTTTGCTGGGTGCCGGCCCATAATAAAAATTGGCCCAGATAAACTCCTGCATTCACTCATAAATAAATTATTATTCATACTTTAATTTAATAAGTAAATAAAAGCTCAAAATATTTCTTCATTTCGTTTTTAAATTAATTAATTTTTTTCATCAATTTTTTTTAATAATTTTCGAATAAAGAAATTATAGAAGACCAAATTTAAATAAGTTTTCTGAACAAATTGGAAAAAGATTTTGAAACTAAATAGTTACGAATCATATTTACACAATTTTTTATATTTATTGTCAAATTCTCTTGTAAAAGATATGAAAGTATGATTTTCCCATGATGAAATAGAAATATAGAATTGAGTGGAGAAGTTTGGCCAAAAAAAAAAAAAAGTGAAGAATTATGTATCTAATAATAAATTTTTTCACACTATTATTTTCGCAAAACCGTAAAAGCATAAAGCGCTTGAAAACAAAATTGTGAGCACCACGCACACAGGAGGGGAGATGGGGAGAGGGAGACCCACACAATGGAGATAGAGACAGTTGCTTTGAATAAGCATCTATGCTATTATTCGTTGATCATCCCGAAGAAAAGAAGAAGAGTACAAGGTTTGCTTTAGAATGATGTGTCAACCAAATTTTCTACAATTTTTTGCTTTGGTGAAAGGCGATTGAGAAATGTTCTCTGATTCTGCCTACGCATGAACTACCACGAATCAAGAATAATGGAGATCAAAAACAAGCCCAGAGCTTATTCCAAAGAATGAACTTTGAGTGCAGAAAGGCACATTCCAATCATCAATCATGGCGTCTAGATGGGTCGCTTGAGGAATGTTTGGCATTTCTGTTAAAAACTTGGACGGCCCCATACCAACTGAGATCCTTGTCAGAGAGAGCTATAGCCACCTTCAGCAATAACTAGTCAATATCAGGCAATGGCATTCTCCAATAGTTCCATGAATTGAAGTCTTCCTGCAAGGTTCCGAAATTAAAAATCCATGTTGTGAGTTGTGAAGTGAGGCAACGAAGTCATTCATGTCTTTATATAATTCCTCACCTGCTCTACCAAAGAAGTAGGGGGAAACATGTCATTGACAAGAGTGTGTAATGATGTATAAGACTTCACGTCGATCCGATGACTTATGGCAACTTCGCCCTGATGGATTTGGTAGGAGTTATAGTTAATACCCAGGGACAAGACATTTATACGAAATGTCAGTACAGGATGCACACCTTGGGGTTAATGATAAATATTTTGCCTTTTGGAATTCCAATCTTCCTGTAACTAAGTTCGTCTGTGTCTCTATTGCCAAATCCGGCATAGAATGGGTTGTAATCAGCAGGAAAAAGTCTTTTAATATCCTGCAAAAATCAAATCATGTGAAATATAATGTTAGCAAAAGCAACCACAGCAAAACAATAATTTCTTATGAATGTCCCAGTTACTTGGAGTGACAAGGTTTTGTGATCCCGTAATTACCTCAAGACAAGCGATCTTGAACTCATGAGGTGCTCTTCTTATGACTTCATCAGTGAAAGAACCCCAACCACAACATAACAAGTCAGACATGGATCAAAATCAATTCCACAGAAAAGAAAGCAGTACATAAACGCACAATTCCTTATTAGGAAAAAAAAAATGTCCGTCAGCAACGACCAGTGCATGTGACAATAATGAATATGCAAGTCGATATTTGCTAATGCTTTTCATAAATGGTAAAACCACGGAAATATTAAAAAGATTAGGTGGTTAAGTACAACGATGGATATGCAAGTTGTATTTTGCTGAAATTCATGTCACCGGTCTTTTATACAACTCTCACAATCATGATAGATATCGGGTTTGTTTTTTTCCCTTCTCCTCTTTTCTACAATCTTATGCAGTTCACAGACATAGAATCAATGAATAAAAAAGAGCAAAGGCAGAAAGGGAGCTCCAATCTTCTCATCACAATGCTGAAAATTAACAACATATACCATACAGCAGTATCCATTACAGTTTTAATTAGCCAAACTAAAAGCGCCTCATTTCTCACCTTCCCGGTAAAGTGAGGGGAACAATCCATCAGGTGAAATAACCACAGGACCATTTGGTAATGTCTTTCCATCCTACAAGAAGGCAAAACTCGCAAAATTAAGCTAAGGCAGCATTATCACCTTGATGACAAAATCAAACAGCCAAAAAGATCAAGCAGATAGTTCATAAAGGAATTATCTAGTCATTAAATCAAGATCCACACCACGTGGTTGATAGAGATCACGGAAAGCCAGATTGCTTTGATACCTGTTTCAGGTTAAGCAAAAAGTTCCTGGTTAGATATGCTTGGACAATGGCACGGGCACTCAGAAACAGAACTTGATATCCATTTTCCTGACACACCAGAAGAATATAATATTAGACATTAATCTTCCTGATATACAATTCAATGCAACATTGAATGCTAGCCGCACATAACATTAAGCATTTTAGCATTCACATTCAAGCATGAGCAGAAGCTTAACTATTGAATAAAAATAGGGTAAATCAATCTCCCTTCCTCTTGAAAACGACCAGATTACATGGTTCTGCGCTCTTACTCATTTTGAGAATCAAGGAAACAAAGTTCAGAGACAAGCAGTGGCAGCAGCAACAAATAGGGAGAAATTTTTTGTTGTTATTTTTCTGGGGGCCTGAAGAAAGCAGAAAATTGATCTGTAGTCTGCCCTAAAGAAAAAGCCCTTGAGTTATATAGCCAATAAACTGATCAATTTTCAGCCTCCCATCAAACTCAAGCTCTATTAAATAACAAATTCAGATGAGTATACAGATAAAATATGCATACTTTGATGGCAGAAAAAAGCCTTGCCACTCCAGATTGAGTCCAATCTTTACCAACTAAAGGCATGAACTGTCCCAAAACATCAGACCTGAAACGACAAGAAAATCGTTTTGATTATGCTTCTCAAACAATACTGCAGCCCTGCTTTTAAATTTTTCTTTGCTTTTTCTTGTTTTACAACTCCATTAAGAAATGTCTATCTGGCTTTTACCGCAAATGAAATCATGAACGTTTCAGTTTTTCTATGATACACAGCAGATATGTTAATCATTAAGTTTTACGAGATTTAGATCAAAGATCTCTGGGAGAATTATATGTTGCATAAACAAGCTAATAAACAATGCTTTGCTTCGTTAAAGCCTCTTGGTTACCAGCTTAAATCCAACAGCTTAAGTCATTAAGTACATTGATGTCATTTGATTTGGCAAAGGATTTCTTATTCTTTGCATGACCAGCATATTGTTAAAGCATAATGAGAAGACGAGATGCTTTGCTTCAAGCATTTTAAGAGTAAAGAAATAAGAATAGGAGTTGTGACTGACCAACTACTAATCTACTATGATTGAATGTCATATAAGCAACCATAAGGCTTTCTAAAAACCGGATGCTGAGATGACAAACCCCGAAACAACTTGTAGGGCATCAAAATATACATAACTTTGCAAGAGTAGTCAATAAGAAGATCGTATTATAACATGAACATCTAATTAAATGGGACCAAGAAAGGATTGAGAAGAATAACAATAATGACACAACAACTATGTTAAAGTTTAATAATATTATTCATTATCAGAAGCCTTACTTGGTAATAGTTCCATCAACATCTGAAATTACAATTCTTGCATTCCATTTCCATAAGTATATATGAGCATCGACCTGTTATGGGGTTAAAATGTAAAGCTAAAATAAAGGAAGATCCAAATATTTATGTATATGAGTATGCCGATGAATGCCAGACCTGTTGTTTTCCAAGAACCCTGGTAGAGAAACTGAAGGTTACTAAATTTTGACCTTCATTTAGATTCAAAGATGCTATTTGATCATTAGTGGGCACATTTGTCCTCACCAATTGCTTGCGAGGAGACCTGTGGCTCCCAGCTGTTGGAGTTGGCTCTCCAAGAGAATTCTGCAAACCAGACTCAGAGTCCACAAAAACATCATCATTTGATGAATTGCTACTGGTGTGCTCAATTGTTTTTACTTTTCGAAAAGGTATAGGCCAAAGTCTCCATCTTCGCCCAGACCAGGCAGATCCATGATCATCATCCCTGGATTTTAGTGCATCATCCTGCTCCACAGGAATTGTGTCATTGGGCTCAACAGGTAAATCTAAACCAAAGACGGCCATTCCTAGAACATGGGGAGCAGCCTTTTCCCATGGTAAGTACCTCCCATTGATCTTTATAATGAGATTTTCATTCTTAATTATGGATGGGGCAGAAGCTTTAAATTCATCTGGAGATATCCGATGTGCTTCAAATGCTTTAGCAGCGGCAGCCAAACCAATGCCCGCCTTTAGCTCATGGCCACAAAGTGAGATATCAAATCCTACAAATTACAAGACAAATTAAAGTGATCAAGCACTATCTAAAATCAACTGATAGTCGTAGGTTATAATCCTGAGAATAACAAATTTGCAACACAGTTCTTACCCAAACCTGGATGACTATGGGCCTCTTCACTGGAGACTGCTGTTTGAGTTTCCACCATCTCACTTTTACTGATATGATTTTCAGGCACGAGGGTACATTGAATATCATCTAGCCCTTCAGTTGATGCTGACTTGCCTGTATGTTCATCATTTGATATGGTAATATCAGAAACAGAATGTCTGCCTGAGTTAGTTTCAACTTCTCCTGATCCCTTTTTCTCTACATCTTGTGGTCTTAATTCTGAAGATCTACGATCATCGGAAGATGCAGAAACATCAGAAGGAGACAACTCACCGTCACATTTAGAGAGTGCCAGCCTCCCCTCTTCATTCTCAACGACAACTGGGCGTATTGTGTTAGTATCCTCAGCTGAATGCTGATCCCCCAATGAAGAATCTTTATCGAGTAAATCAGCATTCCGAGCCATACGCGAAAATTCTTGCAACTCCAAACAGCTTTTGAAAACATTATTCCTTGTGATACCAGAGGCACCCTCTACTGAGTCATTTTGTATATGACGGCCTTGTTCTTGACTTTCAACCCTTAAGGTTTCCTGTGCTTGACATCCATCCTCTTCCGGGTGACCCTCCTGCTGGAGTCCAGAAATATTATCATCACCATTAGTGTTGTGATGGCTACTGGTCGGAATATCAGCCGTTGAGGCATCTATCTGACTGATATAATCAGCAGGCCAGGCACTCTCACCAGAAATAAACTCTCCATTGTCTTCACAAAACTCAGTCCCTTCACCTGGAACAAGATGAAATTGAGGAGTTTCTAACCGCAGAGTGTCTGTATTCTGCTCTGATTCAGAAATAGGAGCCGTCAATACATGACCATCCACGCTAAACAATACCATTTCCGGATGAGAGTCCTGTGAATCAACATAATTTTCTCCATCTAGAGTCTCGTATGGATTTGACTCGTATTCTGACAACTCAATTGAACCTTCAAAAGAAGATTGCTCATCTTGGAAATCATAATATCTCCTACCACTATCGGATTCTGTTCTTTGAATTCGAGGCACATCAAAAGATTCATTTTCATCTTTCAAAGCAAGCACCCCCGAATCAGAGACACTGTGGGCAACTCTGTGAGCATGAGTATTATCAATTTCCATACCACTGTCCTCTCGGGCAAATTCAGAGTTATTGTTATCTTCAACAATTCCATTTGACTCCATTCCCTTGTCATCATCCACCTCCTTCACAAAATAAGCCTCCCCTGAATTATCAAGATGCATGTGGAAGTTTGCTTCGACACCATTAACATTTATACGCACAATCTTTTCAGCGCCTTTGAGAACACCCTGAAATTTACCAAACCGAACATACCATGGCGTGCTTCGAAATGTCCCGTCTTGCTGCTGAACAACAATCACATCAACGGCTCCACCAAAGGGGTGAAAAGGGGTAGCAACTGAGTAAACGCCTTGGCTAATCAGGCTTCCAACTTTACCCACTACATTCATTTCGTCAGTTGCCAATGAACCTGTTAACCTTTGGAAGACTAAGAAACAGACTTTGAAGTTGAAGCCTTGCTTTCAATCGCGTCAATTCCAACAATGCGCATAAATTATTCTTCCAACCAACTTGAATCTGATTGTCTTAATTTCCTGTTTTCTTTCCCGTGAATATGGTTCTTCTTTCTTCAATAAAAGCCCACATAGCGTGAGATGAAGGGAGGGAAAAAACTGTTTTTAACTAAGGAAATGACATTCAGGTAGTGAATTTGAACCAATATTTTCAGTAGACTGAAACAATATGCCCACTCGAATTACCCAAAAGGAAGAATGAAGGGAAAGATAGAAAGAAACTTGAAACTTTGCAGTAAAAATAAATATTGTGCTCGAGTTTCAAAACTTCGACTGTATCGCCTGACTTGAGAAAGTGAACGAAGCCAAGAAAGCCAACTTTATTGGATAATTACCAGAAATTAATGTTCGGAAATGATTAAGTAAGAGAACTTGTCAAAGGTAGAGGGGGAAAATGGACATTGAAATAAAAACAATAAAATCCTGACAGAAAGACACAGAGTTAGATGAATCAATAAAGGCGGTCAGGTTAGACTTACAGATTCAGAGCTTCAATCCGGTAGCTCAAGAAATTGAGGGGCGATTTCTCTTGGTCTTTCCTTCTTTGTTATGATGTTTAAAATTCTTGGACTGCCTTTTTGATGCTGTAATTCTCCCTGGAGACTTCAAAGTTCCGGAGGATTGGATAATAGAGCGAAACCCGAATCAAAATCAAAACTACGCTTCCTCGACTGAGCATTAAATAGGTATTCCCGGACCAAAAACGTTCAATTACTCCCTTTCCGCCTCAATATTACGAGAAATATTGCCGGGCAACACACAAATGTCGAAGCGTGTGAGGGACTATTCGGTCATTTCAGACTACATTTCGTGCTGAGTCACTGGGGCTGCATGGATGAAGTGGACCGGAAACCCAACCACCTGGTTTCGCTAGTCTTCAAGCGCCTAAAAAAACAAATTGTGGTTTATTATTAAGGAATATTCGTGATTATGTATTTTTCCACATCGTTCCATGGCTCTCCCATTGTTTCTTTCTCTCTGTTTCGTCCTTGACCACGTGATCCATGGGCGTGACGAATTGGGACGGAAAAGCGCGGAATAATAAATAACATTTGGAATCAACTAACATGTTCCCGGGTTTTGGCCAAGACCAAGTGACTTGGCAAATATCTTCCCAAGATTCGTAACGGGACAATTTTCGAGTTAGGTGCTGATCACGCTTCAGAGGAATAAGCTCGCAAAGGACCCTAGCTAACTCATAAATCTCAAGGAGTTGATTGACCAGTAAATGTTAACACGTGACGCACCGTTAGACTTGGCCGCTATCGGGAGTTTTCGTAGTTATTAACTGAGATTTAAGTTAGTTAGTGGAATTCTCGACAAACAGAGTGGGAGACATTATTCACGGTATTTTTGGCCGTAACGCTATACTATTTTCTTTTTTCCCCCCAATACATTACATCATTCATGTCACAGCAATTTTTCTGTTGATTATATATATACACCAATTATATTATTAACATTGTTATTGATATTTGTGAGATGTGTTTGCTTATTCATTGATACTTCTTATTCTGGTATTGTTGGGAATTAGATAACGGGATGTTTGGTATCAAGTAAAAATGTTTTTAAAAAAATATTTTTATATAAGTTGAGATAAAACTCTTTAAATATTTATTTTTATATGCTATAATAACATGGTTTGATTTCTACCTAAATATCTATATATAATTTTTATGTGTACAATCACATCAAAAGTCACCTGCTTAAAGTTTACTTTTAATATTTTTTGCTTTGACAGGTGCATAATATTGTAACCTAGAAGCAGGTCTGCAATTGTTTGAAATCATCTCGTGTTCGAAGACAGATAAAATGAATACGAACAACTCAGATTATGTATGCACAGTATACAATCCCAAAGATGAGCGCAGGGTGCTTGATAGAATGACGTGTTGTCGGATATACATGCACAATGTGTAGATCAGGTTTTAAAGAGGATTCAGTCGTCGTATAGCTAGCATACTAGCGGGAAACGTGATGTGAAAATCGAACTTTTCATAGCTTTTAATGAGTTATTATCATTAGTAAAATTTCATATATAGATGTTGATGCTGGTTCTTTTTTTTTTTTATTGAAAAATTTTAGGAAAAGGGTCGGGCTCACCCACGATTCAAGGGCAGGGCCCCTAACGCTTTGATCCACTGGGGCCTGTTCCTATGGACAACGGGAGCATAACAAGCAAGCCCTTTTTTCTGGCCCAAAGGTAGGAATCACCTAGCTTCACTACGCTTGTGGAGATGCCTCCCCCAGCGTCGCACTGGAGTCACAACAAAGTGGCACTCCCCAGGATCGAACCCCCTCTCTTTGGTGAGAGAGTTCGACCCCTTCGCCAGCTGAACCACGGAGAAGACGAACAATCTGCGGGTTTTTGGTGCGGATGCGAGGAACAAGATATTGATCGGATATAAACCCATGCACCGATATGAATCGATGTTTGCAACAGTGTCTTGACTCGAGCACACGCACGCTAATTGCTGCAAACTCACGAGGATAGCGAATGGGAAGAGAAAAAAAAAAGGACTGAGAGGGAAAAAACTACATTAAATAAAAACAGTTTTGATGACATGAAACTCCATGCACCGATCGATGATTCATACCCAGCATGTGGAGTAGTTGGAAGTAATTATCATTGCGTGCATTGATTGGGTAATAAATTATTTGTACTCCTTCAATCCTTAATATAAGACTTATTTCACTAATTTAATTAGATTAAGAAAGTCAAGTAAGTTAGTTAATTACAATAAATATAACATGTTTTTTTAAATACCATAATCATCTTTTTTAATATCATCTCTCTCTCTTCTATTTGATTATAATTGATGGAGTATCATATGGGTAATTTAGAAAAAAATTAATAAATATAAAAAATAGGTCTTATATTTAGAACCAAGATTAGAAGTGCTTGTACATACTTGGCAGTCAAAGTTTAACCAGTTGACCGGATTTCACACGGAAAATTATTGTGGCAAGGCACAATCAGGGCACCAAAGGCAAGGACGGCAAGAATTCTTGAAGAGAAGCGGGGCCGCGGGGGAGGACGCGGAGAGGCATCTGGGTCACTGTTCCATGACAGGGACTGCGATCGAACGCTCACCGGGGCTAAATTGTAGTAGTGGATGGAAGAGGGAGGGCACAACGGGAATAGCGGGAACGAAATGAACGAATCAGGGGGAAGGAGGAGTGACTCACACTGTCACAGGCTCTGACGAAACACCAGTCAAAGCCACCGGCGGGCGACGATATCCTCTGTGCTTCAATGGCTGGGGAGGTGACGTGACAGCAGTCGGGACATGGGCCCCACCCCAAATGCACGGGCTTCTTCCCCACTCCTCCCACCAACAGTTCCAACCAGTTAGCTTCCCTCTTCCTTTTCTACCCTGTGATTTATGATTTTATTTTTTGGGCCAACCCCTGTGATTTATGATTCTTGCATACATCTACATCCTTAGAGAAAACAACACACCCACACATAAGACTCCTAGGATTTTTTTTTTTTTAAGTCCGTTAATTCTTAATAGTTAGCCCTACATTCTGCAACCTCTTCATCAAGAAGATAGACACGTCTTAATTTATTACACTGTGAAAAATTCATCTATTCCGTTAAATTCAACGCTAGCTTGCATTTCCAGACCAGAGCAGCATGTTTCAAAACTAATTAATAGTAGACCCAAGTTTGAACGTGCATAAAAGACTGTAAACTCTGTATTCTCATGCTACACACATTGGGCCAACGCTGATCTATAAGCCCAAAACAAAGGTCATGTTCGAAAGCTCACGATGGTCCATTAGATCTCGGTAACAGTAGGGCCAGCTAGCACTTGACAACGAACACGAGGTCGTTTGACGGCATAAGACGGCCAGATCTCAACCATTTCCGCGTTTTTGCCACTCGGTTCTCAAATCCGTGGGGGAAGGATCCTTGACTTGCTCAGGTTGGTGCTGTTCCCCGGAATCACCACTCCCATCCACCGGTCTCTGGGTTCTCCCATTGCCGTGAAAATGGTTAAAATACCTTTCTCCGTTCTCCTCTTCCTCTTCCTATTCTCCATTATTTCTCCATCCACCGCCGAGATCAAGTCCCTCACCATAAATTCCGACACTCGACCCATGATATTGTTTGAAAAATTCGGCTTCACCCATAAGGGTCACGTTTCCATCGCCGTCTCCTCGGTCTCCGTCGCCGCTCTCTCCTCCGCGGCTCAACCGGAGTCTTCTAACCTCGGCTTCTTCCTTCTCAACGAAGAGAGCCTCGTTCAAGTTCTCATCGAGATCCAACAGAACCCCTCCTTCTGCGTTCTCGATTCCCGCTACATCTCCCGTCTCTTCACCTTCCGTGACCTTTCTCCCCCTCCTCTTGCATCCTTCAATCGATCTTACCCCGTCACAACTCCCAATGAATACAGCCTTTTCTTTGCCAATTGCGCTCCCGAAACCGCTGTCTCCATGGTCGTTCGCACTGAGGTCTATAATCTTGACTCCGACGGCTCTAAGGACTATCTCTCTGCCGGACAAACCCAGCTCCCGGCTCTCTACTTTGTCTTCTCCCTCGCCTACTTTGCTTTCTTGGGTTTCTGGGCCTACGTTTGTTACACAAACAAGCGATCCGTTCATCGCATCCACCTGTTGATGGCCGGTTTGCTTGTCGTGAAGGCTTTGAATCTGATTTTCGCCGCCGAGGATAAGCATTACGTCAAGATCACCGGAACACCTCATGGGTGGGATGTCTTGTTTTACATATTCCAGTTCATTCGGGTGGTATTGCTCTTCACGGTTATCATATTGATCGGGACGGGGTGGTCGTTTCTCAAACCTTTCCTGCAAGAGAGGGAGAAAAAAGTGCTGATGATTGTGATCCCGCTTCAGGTATTGGCTAATGTGGCTTCTGTTGTGATCGGTGAGACTGGGCCCTTCATCAAGGATTGGGTTACATGGAATCAGGTCTTCTTGCTCGTAGATATCATATGTTGCTGTGCTATCATTTTCCCCATTGTATGGTCTATAAGATCTCTGCGGGAAACGTCCAAGACCGATGGCAAGGCCGCAAGGAACTTAGCTAAGTTGACACTTTTCAGGCAGTTTTATATTGTTGTCATTGGGTATTTATATTTCACACGCATAGTAGTGTTTGCGCTGAGAACTATTGCTGCATACAAGTACCAGTGGGTTAGTCAGGCTGCCGAGGAGATTGCGAGTCTTGCGTTTTACATGGTGATGTTCTACATGTTTAGACCGGTGGAGAAGAATGAGTACTTCGTCCTTGACGAGGAGGAAGAAGAGGCTGCAGAGATGGCTCTTAAAGATGAAGAATTCGAGCTTTGAAATGGTGGTGAAGGAATTTATTTGGCCCTCGGTGTTGACCTGGCTTCAACAAATGCAACTTCTATTAGGTCATCCAATGACATGAATTCGCTGTTTTATTTGAGGCTCAGGTCCGCTACTAGCGCAAGGCTGTCACTCTATCCTTTTTTTCCTTTACCCTCTCTTGTTTTCTCCCTTTACTGTGAGAAAAATGCCGATACTGGAATGCTGCCTGTATGTTCCACTAATGATTTTTTTTTTGGTCATAATGTTGATATTGTATTCCGTATAATGAAAAAACCTGTCATGTTCTTGCAACGAATACTGCTTTTTGGTTACATCTCGTTCAAGGAATTGTTGTGCGCTTAATTATGATAGAGTAATGCTGGTACTGATCATTATTCTTTTGGATTTGCCTTATTAGTACTCAGACTTTTGCGTTTCTTGGGCCCATAGTTCAACATTCTTTGCTTGATTGTATCGTTGGTGCATTCACTTGCATTTATTACTTTCTTGACTGAGTTCACTCTTAAAAATACTTGGGGAAAGGATCTAGACTGAGGCTATGTTTGGGGAGTTTATATAGAAATGGAATAAAAAGGCAAGAATGGAATGGTGTCATTTGTCACTCCATTCTTTGGGAGTTTAATGAGGGAAGAGGAATCACCAAAAATACTGTTCCAATGTTTCTTTATAAGCAGGATGTGATTTAACTAATTTTTTGGCCCAAGAGGAGGTAGTTGTATTTCTGCCACTTATAATACATTCCATTTCCTATCAAACCCTCCAATTTGGAGGCACAAGAACATTAGGATCTTGGATGTTGATGATTCTTGAAGTCTGTCCTTTGTCATTCCATTCTGGAAAAAACCTCCCAACCAATGGTTTAGCTGATATTAGTCATCTTCCTTTCCTTACCATTCTATCTCTTAGCATCCATCCAAACACACCCATAGACCTAACGAGAGGAAAGCCCTGACCATAATATTCTTGTAGTAAATAAAAAGTAGTGGAACTGATGAAGACTTGGAATCATAGCTTCTGATATTATAGAGCTAAAATGCAGAGTTAGAATTTTCTGTTCCCTATGGTGGGGATTAAGTTTTTAAGTTGTGCTCAAAGAAAACAGATGAGAAATTTATTCTTTGCAGAATGAAGGGCGAGTTGGTTGAGAAATTCATTCCCCAGGGTGCCTTCTTCCCTTTCAAGATCAGGCACGGTTTGGAGGATGGGAGTCTCCATATTCAGTCTCTTCGCAGAATCGTTAACTATCACTTTTTTTATTGTTGGCACCTGCTAGAAAGAAAATGGGGACAGAACATAACGGCTTTTAGGGCCGAAATCTAAAATGATGTTTTTGCAAGATGTTCATGGTTGATGTGAAATTTAAGTGACTCGATGGTTCACATTTAGAGAAATTTACTCGCTGAAGGTGTTAGGGAAGTTATGAGGATTCCAGTCTCTCTCTTGAACGTTCTTCTATGTGATAGTTAACCATTTAAATCTAACCACTTAACACATTAACTATTTGTGTTTTTCTATTTGTTATTGTTTATGCTTTGTCATTATCCTGAAAGATTTGCTGGTAATACTGATTATTTTGCAACCAAAACAATTGGAATAAGTTAGCAGGCATGCATTACACTTTTGGCTTTGAGTGATGTGAGTGACGTTGTTACTCATTTGCTAAAGGTTGAAGCCTCAAGCCCGTGCAAGCGTGTCATGACAGTACATTGAATATTAATTTCGTGAACATACATATGCTTGTGGTGTTCAAAGTAAGAATTTCTTGTGGCTCATATGTGTAATGTGTTGTATGAATATACAGTTTCATCGGAATAGTGGGTCTTCCAGCTGGACTGCTTTGATGCAAAAGATGCCAGATTCCCAACTGTATTTCGCCTTTTATTCCTTTATTGTAGGCACTTCTAGGCATAGAGTTATAATATATGTATTAAAGGTGTTTTGGGTCTCTAGATCTGAGCCTTCCGCTGAAGTTTTTCTTTGTCAAGCCGTCAGTTAGTCTATTCCGTCTGATACTGAGTAGACTGAGCGGTCAAATACTCTAGCTTGGTAATCTGTCTACCGTTTACTAGTTTTTCAGCATTACATGGATCTGCACAGAAAGAGCCGCTGTACTAGATTTTCTGTATGCTGACACAAACTGGGCTTGGGTTTGTGTTTACTACTTGATGACTGTCATCACAATCATGTGTATGGCCATCAGAAGGAGATGAGTCATCGTTGCATTCAGATTGTGAAGTTTTCATCAACTGCTAGGGATATCGTGCTGAGCTTTGAGTAAAAATGAGTCAACCAGCGGTTCCCATCAGCCCCTTCACATGGACTTGATTGACCTGTTCAAAGTAAGCACCCTTGAATCCGCGAGTTTCATCACTTCCCATCCCTCTTCAACGATTCCATTGGACCCAATTCCTTTCTCATCAATCCACCTCCTTTACAATATTACACGTTGAAATTTCCTTCTACACCACTCACGCACCAAATTTCTGGTTTCTCAATTGATACGATAAATAGCTGTACACAAATTTGTTTTGTTTTTACTCATATTAAATGAAAACGTGAAAGCTCATTTAATTACATTTTAGTCAAACCGAATCGCTTAAAAGAACCCGAATGTGTATTTAAAATATCAATAATGTATATAAATTTTTGTGGATTTCCCCCCCTAATCATCAATATAATCATGCATATTGGCTACATGCACATGGCACGTGAAATTACACTGGCTTGTTCAAATATAATGACGATATGAACAAGAATGTTTTTCCCCTCTATATATAAGTATCCTAATCGAGGTACTGTTAGACATTAAGTGTTAAATGTTAGTTTGTCTGCATTATAAGAAATTTTTTTTTACTAGACATAGTGTGAACAACATTTTTTTTTTGGGTATAAATGTGAACAGGAAATTTGAATGTTCATAAAAACCCTCTGTTGACGGAGTCGGGGTTTTTTTTGGGGGGGGGAGTATCCTATTCATAAAAATGATGATCTATGGGCCAGAATGAAGAGGGTGTTGTTGGTAAGCCCAAATATCAAAAAATAAGCCCAACTAGTTATTGAGCCAGCATGTTCATCTTCTCTTCTCTTTCTCTTCTGTTTTTGGTGCCAACGAGCCCGCATGACGAGACGACATCGTTTGCGCGTAAGCCAACTAGATCTTACCAGCCACCAAAATCCATCGCTTTAATTGCGAGGGAAGGAAATTTGCTCGGGTTGGTGCTGTTCCCGGCCTTCGTCTTCCCGGAATCGCCACTTCCATCCAAAGTTTTCTGGTTTCTCCTCCGCCGTGAAAATGGCCAAAACACCCTACTTCATCCTTATTCTCCTCCTCTCATTCTCTATTTTATCCCCATCCACCGCCGAGATCAAGTCCCTCACCATAAATTCCGACACTCGACCTATGATTCTGTTTGAAAAATTCGGCTTCACCCATAAGGGTCACGTTTCCATCGCCGTCTCCTCGGTCTCCGTCGCCGCTCTCTCCTCCGCGGCTCAACCGGAGTCTTCTAACCTCGGCTTCTTCCTTCTCAACGAAGAGAGCCTCGTCCAAGTTCTCATCGAGATCCAACAGAACCCCTCCTTCTGCGTCCTCGATTCCCAGTACATCTCCCGTCTCTTCACCTTCCGTGACCTTTCTCCCCCTCCTCTTGCGTCCTTCAATCGATCTTATCCCGTTACTACTCCCAATGAATACAGCCTTTTCTTTGCCAATTGCGCTCCCGAAACCGCTGTCTCCATGGTCGTGCGCACTGAGGTCTATAATCTTGACTCGGACGGCTCTAAGGACTATCTGTCTGCCGGACAAACCCAGCTCCCGGCTCTCTACTTTGTCTTCTCCCTCGCGTACTTTGCTTTCTTGGGATTCTGGGCCTACGTTTGTTACACAAACAAGCGATCCGTTCATCGCATCCACCTGTTGATGGCCGGTTTGCTTGTCGTGAAGGCTTTGAATCTGATTTTCGCCGCCGAGGATAAGCATTACGTCAAGGTCACCGGAACACCTCATGGGTGGGATGTCTTGTTTTACATATTCCAGTTCATTCGGGTGGTATTGCTCTTCACGGTTATCATATTGATCGGGACGGGGTGGTCGTTTCTCAAACCTTTCCTGCAAGAGAGGGAGAAAAAAGTGCTGATGATTGTGATCCCGCTTCAGGTATTGGCTAATGTGGCTTCTGTTGTGATCGGTGAGACTGGGCCCTTCATCAAGGATTGGGTTACATGGAATCAGGTCTTCTTGCTCGTAGATATCATATGTTGCTGTGCTATCATTTTCCCCATTGTATGGTCTATAAGATCTCTGCGGGAAACGTCCAAGACCGATGGCAAGGCCGCAAGGAACTTGGCTAAGTTGACACTTTTCAGGCAGTTTTATATTGTTGTCATTGGGTATTTATATTTCACACGCGTAGTAGTGTTTGCGCTGAGAACTATTGCTGCATACAAGTACCAGTGGGTTAGTCAGGCTGCCGAGGAGATTGCGAGTCTTGCGTTTTACATGGTGATGTTCTACATGTTTAGACCGGTGGAGAAGAATGAGTACTTCGTCCTTGACGAGGAGGAAGAAGAGGCTGCAGAGATGGCTCTTAAAGATGAAGAATTTGAGCTTTGAGCTGTGTGGTGAAAGAATTAAGCTGGCCCTCCTTGTAGACCTGGCTCTAACAAATGCAATTTCTATCAGGTTGCCCGCTGTCATGGATTCACTGACATATTTGTGGTGCAGGTCCGCTGCTGCAATGCTGTTTATCCGTTTTTCTTTTTCCCTCTAACCCTTGACTATGAAAAAAATACCGATACTGGAATACTGCCTATATGTTTAGCTAATGGGAAGTTTTGTCACAATGTATTGTATTTCTGCATATGAAACCCATCGAACACTCATGTTGAGTTCTATGTCATTCAAGAAATTGTTGTGAGCTTACTAATGACTGAGTAATGCTCTACTTATGATTAGTCTGTGGATTTTTGATATTATTATTACTTCTACTCAAGTGTTTCTGGTGCCGTGGGGCCAACATTCTATAATTGATGGTATCACTAGCGCACGCACTGTACATTGCTTCCTCGTCTTCCTTACACAATCAAAATGCCCAAGGCCCACATATTATACATCATTATTATTTTCCTTTGCATTCTGTTTTGAGTATGCTCTTTTACATTTACATCATGCCTATATCAATATAATGTTGTAGTGCTTCTCTCTGTGCATTATTCCTCTCAGGTTCCCTCTTGTATTCACACGTCAAAGATTACGTTTCTCTTAATCTGAACCTTCCTGCCTATTAATTTTCATCTTTCATTGACAGCATGCTATGCTATCACTGAAGGTTTCAAACCAAAAAACCTTTTCATTGTATTCCTGTTTTATTTATTTCACATGGAAGCTCCCAGCAATCAAGCGCAGCAGAGGTTGGGCTTATTGAGGGATGGCCTAGAGGGAACGTAGATTCACCTCCTTCATGCTTTGTTCCGGGTCTTTATCAGGACAGAATTTCGCTATAACTACACTGGTTTGTCAACTATGCTGCCAAGATACAAATCTGAAGTACTGTATTCTATTGAAAAGTGTGCTACAGATGTGACCAGATCCAATGACAAAGAAGCAATAATTCAGCTGCTAACGCAGAGTTAGCTCAGCCAACCAGGATTCTGATCCTCTAGTGAACTCTCTGGGATTGAAATTATAAACGCGCCAAACCAAGTGAGTGAGTGCACCCTTCAAAATACTGAGGCATGGGATTTAAACCTAGCTAGGCTATATTTCGGATTTTATGAGGGAATGAAATGGAATGGCAGATAATGGAGCGGAATGTAAAGACTAGGAGTGGATTGTCAAGTCATGTATCTTTTCATTAGTTAGGAGTCTTTCATATTTTTAGCCGAAGAGGATATGGTTGTATTCATACCGCCTTTCCATCATATTCCCTCCTAGGCCCTGAATTTCAAGGGTTGAAAAAATGGATTTTTAATATGGATGGCAAGGCAATAAAGGGCCTTGGAGTCCCATGTTCGCCATTTAATCACGCATTTGTAGTTAGAATTTCAGTTCAGAAAATGGGATTCTAAGTTCTTAATTTGTTGTCAGATGAGAAAGATTAGAAATTTATTGTCTGCGTAATGGAGGAAGATCTGATTGACAATTCATTCTCCATTGAGTTTCCTTCCCTGTTTCAAGCCCACTACCATGCTTGAGAGGGTTAAATCTGCTTCTTCCGTCTCTGGCAACCTCTCAGTTCACTCAACCTCTTGCACTTGTTATATTTCTAGCAGCCATTGACAAGAAATAAAAAGGGAATATGATGAAACGACCTTTTGGGTTGGATCTAAATGGTGGTCTTGCAAAATGTTCAGTTTAAATATCACATTTACTTGGCTTTAATATTCAAATTGAGATAAGATTACACAGTAAATTTATGAGGGAAACTGTGAGGATTCTGATTACTTCTTTACAGGCTGCCGTGTGTTTAGTTAAAACATCTAACATACGTAACATATTAACTATGTCGCTCTATTTGTTAGCTACATGCTTTGTCATTGGTCTGAAAGACATGCTAACAACGCTGATTATTTTGGAATTCAAGATATAATTGTTGCATACTTGAGGACATGTGATCTTAGTAAGAGGGATGGTTTCTGAATTATTCCGTCTTGAAACGAGCCGCTTGTTGGTCGCGGATTGTTCGCAAAACTATGTTCGGCATGGCTATTTTGTGTTATGCATGCTGATTCAACCTTTTAACCTAACCTCGTGAAGTGTCTTTTGGATAAATAATTAAAAGGGTATTTTAGATAAATCAAGATAGATTTATTACAAATAAATAATTTAATTAATTTTTATAATCTCAGTAAATTAGTTATTTAGTTTTTATGTATGTATGGATGGTATCTTTTGGGTGAGTAGAAATTGAATACTAAATTGTTGCAAAGGCTAAATAGTCGGAAAAAGAAAGCATCAAAGGCTAGAACAAAAAACGCAAACAAAAGTCTCTTTGGGGTCATCGAGGGGACCGAGGCTAACATAGAATTAGCATAATTAATTCTTGCAAGAGAGGGGGATTGATTTGTGTATAGTATTAAGTTTATTTTAGGGTGTGTTTGGTATGAGGGATTTGGGAGGGAGGGGAGGGAAGGGGAGGGATTTTAATCATTTTCCCTTGTTTGGCAACACACAAATTTTAGGAGGGGAGGGAAAATTTTTTAAAATTTCCCCTCCCCTCCCCTCCTCAACCTCCCCTCCAAAATTGGGAGGATTTGGAGGGAAAAGGCAATATTTTGTCATATTATGACTATTATGCTTATATTTTGTCATGTTGTAACCATTATGTCTATATTTTGTCATGTTGTGACAATTATGCCCATGCCTTAAATAAAATAAGAGCAAAATTGTTCATATTAAAATATTTTTCCCTCCCCTCCCCCTCTTTTTTTATAAATCTAAACAAGATAATATTAAAATCTTTCCACTCCCCTCCCCTCTCCTTCCCTCCATTAAAATCCCTCCCCTCCCCTTCCTCTCATTGAGCCAAACATACCCTTAAGGTTTTGTTGCCGTTAATGTGTTCGTATCCATATTTCATATAATTGTTTCAGTGCCGATTCTGTTGGCGTAAGATATCCAACATCGTCGATGGATGTGACAAAACATCAGTCTTGGAACGGATGTCGTGTGGAGTAGTGGATTTAGAACATACTTGAAGTTTGAACTCTGAACTATTTTAATACGGAAATGACTTATGATAGGGTTTTTCCTGTGAGAAAATTATTTTTTTAGTTCTCAACTTTTAACTCAATTATCACTTGGTCTCTCGATTATGACATGATATGACTTAAGCCTTTAGCTTTTAATTCGGTTGAAACTTGGTCTCTAATTTTTTTTTGTTTAAGGAATTAATTCATATCAGAATAATTATGACTCAATACAACTTAATTCCTCAACTTTCTTATTTATTGTGGCCCCTAGAATAAACCATCCCCACCACCGTCATCTCAAAATAAGTAAATAAATCATATTCCGTCTTCCTTCTCTGATCTTAAATTTTATTGATTGGCCTCCTCTTTGATTTTGGTATCTGCATGCATTACCGATCGTTGATATTTTAGTCGTGAGCAATCCATGCAGATGAACCTGAAAAGATAGATATGTACAGGGGAAATTTTCCCTTTGATCCCTTTCAAAACAGGCCAGCGTTATCAATTGTAAGCGAAAATGGCATGGAACGTCTCATGGTTAACTGTCATAAACTCTTCAAGGAACAAGAGTTAAGTGTCAAAGGATCAGCATTAATTCTGGTTAGAAGATTTTAAAAGATGTATTATTATGACAGAGTTTACAATTCAATGAGGGTGATTTTGAAAAGCTGATGTCAGGAAGCAGCCTGCATATGCTATATTGTGCCTTTAATCTCTTACGTTGATGCAACCAAGACATCAATGTTTTAGACTTATTTCATTTTTAATGGATTACTTAGCACTCAAGTGTCTGGTGACACGGTAAATCACAATGCAATTCATGGAATTGAACTAGAATCATGTCAAAATGGTTTTTAAAAATAAATAAATAAATTGTTTGCCATGATGCAATACACTTGTTACGAACATGATGACAAAAAAGGGCACTGAAGGTATATGCGTATGCTGAGGTGTCCTTAATAAGAGTGATTAAGGAATGTGACCCCATTGCCAATATATTGCCAAGTGTGAGTTGGTGGAAAGCCATTCTTGATGAGTGCTCATCATTCTGTTGCTTCATTCTGCTTCTTGAGATATGAACATTACATATACATATACATACACACACATATATAGAGAGAGAGGTTGATTGCAGGGAAGCTTAAGCAAGAAGGGTTCATCAGAGCTGCCTCTCTTTCCTGCCTAAAGTAGAATGCAAGTTTCAGCAAAGGCCAATTAATGGGTTTTGGTGGATGTTATCATTCTCATTTCCTCTTTATTCATTGTTCATGCCCTTTTTCTTTATTTATGTGTGAAAAAGAAATAAAATATATGATTCTGTATTTAATCCTGTGATGATATTAGTATATTAGAGCCGCTCCCTCACAGTATGCATCATGATTTTACCAACCCATCTCTTTAAATTTTTTGGTAAAAACTAAAAAGTCCTATCATCATCCTCAACTACCAACATTCTTTTTAACAGCGTCGCAGAGTAATATTTGATTTCCTTAACCGAATGGATTTTCAGGTGTTTATCGTTTAGTACTGAGCTAGGGGCCAGTACAAAATAAAATATTACCACAGCCCATGGTTTGCCAAATATATATCCTCAGAATTAATTGACAAGTGCTAATTAAATTAACTTGAGATACTTCAGCCTTATTATTACAAATAAAATAATTAAAAAAAAACGAGTGAATGTTAGGAGAAATATAATCTCATGCACATATTTGCGATTTAAACTTGTTTCAGGGGCCATTATACTACTCCTCCGGTCCTTAATATAAAACTCATTTAACTAATTTGATTAGATTAAGGAAGTTAGGTAAGTTAGTTAATTATAAGAAAAGTGACACATTTTTCCTAAAATACCATAATCATCTTTCTTAATACCCTCTCTCCCTCTTCTACTTGATTATGGTTGAGGGAGTATCCATAGGGGTAATTTAGAGAAAAATGATAAATATGAGAAATGAGTCTTATATTTAGGACCAAAACCAACTCAAATATTGGGTCCTATATTAAGGACTGGAGGAGTATTTCTTACACATGAATAGTACGGTGTATGGTAACTTCCTAATTCCTATATTGATATTGATTACAGTCCCTTTTTTTTAATTTAAAATGCAAATATGTGTGTGACTGTGTCATTTGTAAAGTTATTTTATTGTGTTTGATTGTAGGTTATTAGAAATCATGACCATAATATCAAGGGAATTAGTGGGAAAGTTTTACATGAACATACTATTATGATTATCTGAATTTATCAATAACTTGTTGTGATACCAATCATCTTTCCATTCCCATCCACTTTTCTACAGTTGGCAGTCAATATTTCTTTCCGATTTACTGTT